AATCAGTGATTTTTTTTAGTAGGTAAGAATTATTTGCTTCTCTAAAAGTGTCTTCCAGTTTGTATCCGTTATAATTTTTGAACAGAATGACTTTGGACATCACTGAAGATTGGCAGGCATTAATTCTAAATGTTTTTTTAAAAAGATTCTATTTATTTGTCAGTAAGAGAGAGAGTGAGCACAAGCAGGGGTAGCAGCAGGCAGAGGGAGAGGGAGAAGCAGGCTCCTCACTGAGCAGAGAGCCCGATGCGGGACTCGATCCCAGGACCCTGGGATCATGACCCGAGCTGAAGGCAGACACGTAACCTACTGAGCCACCCGGGCGTCCCCAATTCTAAACGTTTTAAGAGAGTCTGTTCTAATACACCTATATAATTTCTTAATTTTAACACCTATCACCTTGTTCTTTCTGTTCTTTTCCTTTAAAACATTACCGAATGATACTTGCTGTTGGTAATAGTCAAAGTCCATTAAAAATCATATAATTCTAAAACTCATAGTGTTCATTTATAAATGAATATTTTTATGCCTATGTATTCATAATAAAGTTTATGAACCTACTGCAAAAATCAGTCATAGTGAAGGGCTGACTAATAAATAAAAGTGAATACAGGGATTAGGTCCACTCTGTAGAAAAATCATCAGATAGATCCATCACTGCACCCCACAGGAAACGACCTAAGTTTTGAATGCTGTATTTTTAGGGATTCATTGGCTATATTCACTGATGAAGAACCGAGATAATTTTTATGCATTTGTTTAATCCATTTCATTAACTCACCAAATAATGTGTTTCAAATTTTTTAAAAAGCTTTGGCTGAAAAGCTAGCACCTCAGGGGCTCATCATCCCTAAATATACCACGGTCCGCATTGCTCCTTTAATTATGTTGTAACGTGTCGTCTCTGTTTTGTCTTGACATTTTCCAGTTTCCTAGTCGATGAATCTGAAACATTTGCTCCTGTTTTCCAATCCTGTTTCCTGTGGTTTCGAAGTGAAATACTATATAAGACTTGATGCAAAGAACTGAGAAAATATAAATAGACCAAACAACAACTTTCATGTTGAGTGTGAACTTTTCTACTAATTTTAGGGCTTTGGGGGGAAGGTTAGTTTTCTCAAGCTCTGAAATGTTTATAGCTGAGACTACTTGCATCCAGTGAGAGCTGACCTAAAAACTAGCATCAAATATTCTATAGCCATGAAGATGAACACGAGTTCCCAGCCCTGAAATTCTGAAATTGTGCAGTTATTGGATATTCCGCACATAATCCCATGCCTCCACAACCTTGGTGTAAATGTGCATAGTATTCCTTGAAGAAGAACATTAGCCAGCTCTACTGTGGCTGGTAAATTAACTGATTTACAAGACACATCTTCCAGAAGAGCCATAAAAGTTTATTGTGAATTGAGTGACTATAAGATGATATGGACAACTGGATAAAGCAAACACACTTTAAAAATGATTGATTAGATTAATATCCAATCGATATATTGTGTATCCTAATGGAAATTCTATGTCATAAGACAATTAGTATTGCTTATTATGTAATGCGAGTTTCGATGCTGGGAGCAGAATTATCCACATTTGTCAATTTTGCTATGCTTCTCTAAACTTTTTTAAGGGGAGAAGCAGGGGATAAGTTTTACTTTGGTTGAATCAATTAACTTTTCTGGTACGTTTTAGTCTTTCAGTGGTATTTGGAGTTGAGGCCCTAGATTTTTTTTTTTTTAAGATTTTATTTATTTGAGAGAGAGAGAATGAGAGAGAGAGCACATGAGAGGGGGGAGGGTCAGAGGGAGAAGCAGACTCCCCACCGAGCAGGGAGCCCGTTGCGGAACTCGATCCCGGGACTCCAGGATCATGACCTGAGTCGAAGGCAGTCGCTTAACCAACTGAGCCACCCAGGCGCCCCCTTGAGGCCCTAGATTTTTTTCTTTTAAATGTGACAAAGAAAGAATATTACCCTGAAAATATAATTTGATGACTTTTAGTTGACTTACTATAGAGTTATAGACGCACAGAAACCTTAAGCATTAGTTTTTGTTCATCTTGTTTTCTTTAGGGTCAAAGGAACCGATGTTGATTCAGGGAGTTAATCACTTGATCTAAGCCACACCGTTACAGATGGAGCCCCACATCTAACTTGGATCTCACAATTCCCAATTTGTTCTTCTGTGTCTTTCTCTTCTTCTCCCATTTTTTCATTCACGTATTTTTTCAATAAATATTTGTTGAACTCTTAAGATTTATTTATTTTAGAGAGAGAGAGAGTACGCAGTGGGTAGGAGCAAAGGGGGAGGGAGAGAGAGGATCTTAAGCAGACTCCCCACTGAGCATGGGGGCCATTGAGGAGGCTTGATCTCATGACCCTGAGATCACAACCTGAGCCAAAACCAAGAGTTGGATGCTTAACTGACTGCACCAGCTAGGTGCCCCATGAGCTCTTGAATTGTTCTAGGCATTGCGTGTTGACCTGAGTGGATGAACCAGAGAAAATTCCCTGCCCTCATGAGTTTATAGGCTAGCTTAATGCTATTCTTTTCACATCACAGGCTTTTTATTTATGAAGGATACTAAAAAGATAAGTAATTTAAATTTAAATTTTTGGAGAGAAGTATGGTAAGAATTTTAATTTCAGCAGTTAGGTAAAATAAAATACATAACAGACATTTGAATGCCTACATATTTAAAAATGGTCTATATTGGGGGGCACCTGGGTGGCTCAGCCATTAAGCGTCTGCCTTCAGCTCAGGTCGGATCCCAGGGTCCTGGGATCAAGCCCCGTATCGCATTGGGCTCCCTGCTCAGCAGGAAGCCTGCTTCTCCCTCTCCCACTCCCCCTGCTTGTGTTCCCTCTCTTGCTGTGTCTCTCTCTGTCAAATAAATAAAATCTAAAAAAATTAAATAAATAAAAAATAATAAAAATGGTCTATATTGGGAAGGGGAAATTCATTTATATGTGGAGTATCTCTCATGTATTGATGATGCATTCATCAATCAATGAATATTTATTATTCTGTAGCTCTATATACATATTTTTTATAATATAATAATTTTGGGTGCCTGGGTGGCTCAGATGGTTAAGCGTCTGCCTTCGGCTCAGGTCATGATCCCAGGGTCCTGGGATCGAGTCCCGCATCGGGCTCCCTGCTCCTTGGGAGCCTGCTTCTCCCTCTGCTTCTCTCTCTCTCTCTCTGTCTCTCACGAATAAATAAATAAAATCTTTAAAAAAATATATATAATATAATAATTTTTACAAGTATTCCTCAGTTTATTTTTAATTGAAATATAATTAACATATCATGTTATACTAGTTTCAAGTGTCCAATATAATGAGTCCATATTTCTATATGTTACTCAGTGCTCATTCAATGAATATTCTTATCATTAAATTTGGTACTTCTGATAATGCAGTTAGAATGAATACTTACAATTGGAATTACTTGTTTAAAATTTAGAGAATACCACTTACAGATTTCTGAAATCCGTATAGTCAGTAGAGGTCTCTAATTAACCTTCTTTGGATGAATGCATGGCTATCAGACAGTTAGTTGAATCTTGGTCAGTGTCACTAACTAAAAGAAAATTTTGGAGTGTCCAGAAACAAGTAAGATTGCTCAAGATAAATTAAATATCCATTATGGTTATTATATGCTAGTCAGATGATTACATGGTAGTTTTAACCACTTTCTCAATAATATGCATGTTTTCTCTTTCCATCCCAGAGTGGCTCGTGGTTCTCTAAGGATTTCCAAACTGCCTATGTGGGCAAGAGCCTGTAATGTCACTCTCTCAACCCCAGTCTCTCTGCCTCTCTCTCTCTCATTTCTCTGGTTACATGTTATCTTTTCTCTTTGCTCCTCTAGCCTGGCCTGAAGTGTTATAAGATGCCTTTCTTCTTCCTGTTTTCTTGTTAGTTCTGTCTTCAGTCTTCATGATGAGAGCAGATACTTACCTCTGTGGTTAGCGTGTCAAAAGCATAAGTCTTTGGCATAGTGCCTTCCGGAAGATCTTTCCTGCCTGGATAGATTCCCTGTTTTTTCCATTCCCAAACTTTCCCTTTCCTGCAGAGGAACAGAGAGCGCAGTTGAGGAGACTTCAGAAGCCAGGGGCTCTCATGGAACTGCCTCTGCAGAAAGTTCTTTTGGCGCTTCACCTCTGGGTGTTCCTTATTCCCCACCTTGTTTGGGCAACTAAGTACTCTTGATTTGGGGTGGTGAACTGTGGAGTTCAGGTCACCAGTGGATGGTGCTCCGAAGTGAAGAGTTGATTTCTGGGTGATTTGCAGAATTTTAAAAAGATATCCACATTTTACTACAATATAGCACTCTTTATGGAACTGTTGATAGCATAACAAACCTGAGTCTCCATGTGTTCCCCTACTCAGCAACTGAAGCTTTGTAGTTGTGATGGGGAGCACCCCCTCCTCCCTGGGCTTGGCCCTGAGGCATAGAGTTTGGCTCAGGGGAGAGGGAAAGGCATCCTTGAGGAATAAGTCATGGCCAGTATTCGTCTGCCTGGAGCACAAGACTTAGTTGCTGAATAATGCATATTTAATATATGTCGAATCAGTTCCAGATTTATAAAGGCTGTAACAGTAGATCCTTATCTATTGCAGTCTACTGTCATCTCTACAGAAGGAGCAGAAGAAAGAATGAAACTAAAAAGTCACCTTTGCTCCTTCTAGTCAGAATGGGAAAAGTTATGATGGCAGGAGATAATGAAACTATTTGTTAAAACGAGATTTTTGGCTTCTCTGTTGGATTTCATTTATTCATACCACTCTGGATTTCCACCGAGAACTGAATTCAGGGTGATGTTACTTTACATATTATATGAAAGTATTCTGCACTGTTATACGTATTTGGTTGGGGTTATCCACTCAGGCTCTAAATTATGCTAGTAGATCAATACCATATATGAATCTGAATAAAAATAGTGATTTGGATGAGAACTAGTGTAGATAGTTGAATCCATATCTTATACTATTTTTCCAGGGAAAGGTGATGTATTTGGAGACATCTTCTGGAAGGAAACCACCCTTGCTCACGCGTGTGCCAATGTCCGAGCACTGACATACTGTGACCTCCACATCATCAAGCGAGAAGCCTTGCTCAAAGTTCTGGACTTTTATACAGCTTTTGCAAACTCATTCTCAAGAAATCTCACTCTTACTTGCAATCTGAGGAAACGGGTATGTCATATGGATCCACTTGCCCTTATTAGAATCGATGGGGTTAATATGTCATGCTCTATTAGCTGAGAAGTGCAAGAGGTATTTCATTTTGCACTCGTACATTCTCATCGATGTAAAGTGACATAATTTTCTTTCCCTTTCTTTATATTTTGTTTACTTTTTAAGGGGGAGGGGATTCCTGAGTACATGGTTAAAGACTTGAATCTTTATAATTTAAGTGTAAAATGAAAAACAGAGTTAAAGAGAAACAAACAAACTGTACTATAACGTAATTAGTTCTTAAGGTTTATAATAACTGCCATAAAAATAACATGAGTGTCTCTTAGTTTATTATGTGGTTTTTTTTTTTAGGTCGGTAAGGTTAATCAAGCTGGTTGCTTATTTTATATTCCTGACTCTATTATAAACACCCTTTCTCATTTAATGATCAGTTCATAAAGCTTATTCCCTGTGAATTCTTTCAAAGCACGCTATCTTAAAAAAATAATTAGCCACACTGACATATCCTACAAATAGGTATAGCAGCTCTTAACTTTGCACTGCTGCTGCAAATATAATATTCATGGCCATTTTCTTTTTTATTGATGAGTGTGACACAAATTTAATTTGCGTAAAGAAATTTCCTAGCTATGATTTATACGTCTTTGGACATAGGCTAGGGCTCTTTTATTGCCAAGAATGAAATACACATTTGGACAACTGCACTTAAGGAATTTCATCTAAAATGATTGCCCATCTATGGTGAAGTATTTTGAAATAACAAGGCTTCCCTCCCACTGCCCCCTTAAATAGGACCTTCCCTTTAGTTAACATGGAGGAGAAAAATCAAGCCAAAAGACAAATCAGCATCTCTACTGTAGCAACATAGAAAGGAACATAAGCAAATCATTATAATTCTCTACGGGGGGGGGGGTCCTAGGAGAGGACAGGACTGCTGGAGTCCTATTCATACCAGCTGTGTCACAATGTTGGATCTATATTTGTATAGCATTTTCAGTTTCTATTTTTGTTATAATAAATGGGTATTGAGGATCCACAACCTGCTAGACAATATGTAAAGAGTTGTTGCAAGCACAGAGACAAAATAGAGTCCCTGTGCTTAAGGTGTGAGTCCCTATGCTTAAGCCAAGTGTGACTATTCTATGAAACACAAATAAGTGAAACACATATTTGTACTAGTAATTGAAAGTTAAGGTAGTGGTGGATGTGGAAGAGGGCTGCCGATAGGAACTAACTGTGGAACTTTCTTGCTTATTCGTTAGGGAGTGTGGAGTCTCGTTTAAGTAAAAATATGTCTCCTTTGGTCTGTACTTTACCTTCCCCATTGACAAATTCCTCTTCTACAAGGCAGCCCGTTAGATATTTGAAACTCATATCTTATCAAATCTTCTCCAATATAAATTTTGCCAGCTTTGGCGTCTTCCCACATACCACAAGATTACTGAAACCCCTATCCATCATCGTTATGGTCCTCAGGACAGATCTTATTTGTCACTGTCTTCCTTGAAGCATGTTTACACAGTATCTCATCTGATGTTTATAATATTCATGTGGAAAAAAAGGACAGTTATTTTCCTTTCAAAACACATGAGGAAGCTCAGGCCCAGGGGATTAATATCAAATAACCAACTGATATATTTGCAGTGCAAGGTCTCAAAGAGGGATAATTAAGATAACTCACCAGTAGAAAATAAATATTGGTTCTTCAGAATGAGTTCATCACAAAGCTCTCTCGCTTCTTTATTTTCTCTTTTGCACATCTGAGCATATGCACACCACACACACACACACACACACATTGTAATGAATGGCGAGTGCACATACCTCTGATAGGAAGAGAAGCTATAGACAGAAAACTCTGTGTGTGTGTTTTAAAGATTTTATTTATTTATTTAGAGAGAGAAAGAGAGTGGGCAGGGGGCAGAGGGAAGGTGAGAGACCATCTCCAGCAGACTCTTTGCTGAGCGTGGAGCCTGACGCAGGGCTCGATCCCACAACCCTGAGACCATGACCTCAGCCGAAACCAAGAGTTGGACGTTCAACCGACTGCACCAGCCCAGTGCCCCTGTGCGTTTTTTTTTAATAGGACTTGGGGATGGTGTTCCTGCCTCTGCAGGTGCTGGTGCACAAGTTACACCAAATGGCTTCTTCCCTTTATAACCTGCTCCCTGTCACAACCTGTGTCATGTTTTTATTTTTTAATAATTCCAGCCCTTCTTCAATTGATGGATGGTCTCAATAACTTGGCGAAATGTGGGGAGAGGTGTACTGTCAGTCAGTGTCACTTCATTCTCAGGAGAAAAAAAAGTATTCTCATAAAAAAAAAAAAACAACACTGAGAAAATATCCTCCAATGACTCGTGAGAATAACTACCATTTTGAGAGGCCGTTTTATAGCCATGCACTTCAACATATTTTATATATAATAATTGACCTTATAAAATTTCAGTAACCCACAGATGAGGCACCTCACTTCCATTTCATCGATGAGGAGGCTGAGGTTCTGAGAATGGGACAGCTAGCTGCCAAAGAAATTATGGCTCAGTGTCTGGTTTTGAATCCATCTCTGTCTGATTCTAAAACACAGATCTTTGATGCTACCATGTTGCTTTGGCTTGCCAAAATACTTGGTATTTTTTTTCCACAACAATATTCCACAGACACACTGTCAACCATTTATAGTTTCTCATGTGCTCAGTCACTTTCACTTCGTTCCCCATGGAGCTATTAATACAAGGGTATTTTGTTCTTATGGCTATTACTGCAAGCATTCTTGCATTGAGTATTTTTGGTGAATTGGATATTTGTTGTGAGTTGTATAATCAAAACCATGTCCTTAGTATGCTCTTGATATCATAGCTATCAGAACCACTAATTAAGGACGTGTTTCTAGTAAGCTGGGGGAGTAGATTTGGAACCCGGATTTTCAGCTGTCACAGATTAAAGCTCTGGCCACATGAGCGGGTGTGGTGGCTGGGTGGAGAGCTTTGCATGGTGTGGGATTCTTGGTGGTTGCAATAGTGGGGGATGTGGCAGCACTTTAGCTGCCTGTCTCCCCTGCCCCCCGTCTCCATTATGGAAGAATAAGAGATTTGTTATGCCAACATAGTTCCCACTAACCATCCTTAAGTTCCTCTCTATAAAAATTCTAGAACTAGAACTAAAATTTCATCCAATAACTAGAGCAGGGGTTGGCAAACTTTCTCTGTCAAGGACCATTCAGTAGATATTTTAGGATTTGAGGGCCACAGAGCCTCTGTCTCAACTACTCAAGCTTGCCATTGTGTGAAAGCTGCTGTCTTAGCTCAGGGTGCCCTCACAAAATACTAGACTTAAACAACAGGAATTTATTCCCCACAGTTCTGGAGGCTGAGAAGTTCACGATCAAGGTGCTGGGCCCAATTGGGTACCAGCGAGAGCTCTTTTCTTTCTGGCTTGCAGACCTCTGCCTTCTCCCTGTGTCCTCACGTGGCTGTGAGGGAGGGAGAGAGAAAGGGAAGGGACAGAGAGTTAGGGTTGGGGTTAGGGTTAGGAGACAGAGAGAAAGGGACAGAGAGAAGAAGGGGGAAGGAGGGAGAGAGGGAGAAGGAGATCTCTTGAGTACCTCTTCTTATTAGGGCAGTAATCTCATCATGAGGACCTCACCCTCACGACCTCATCTAAACCTAATTGGCTCCCCAAAACCTTTTCTTCAAATATCATCACATTGGGAGATTAGGGCTGCAACATATAAATTTGGGGGGAATAAAATTCAGTTCATCACAGCAGCCAAAGATAGTATGTAAATAATTGAGCATAGTTGTGCTTTACTAAAACTACATAAACTGGTGGCTCTCACGGGCCTTAGGGTGTCCATTGCTGAAAGGAGAAGACTGGAAGTTAGCTAGGGAGGACAATGAGTATGCACACAGAATCCTCTCCCCTTGTATTAGAAAGCAAATCTACCACTTGCCACTCAGAGGTTTTCACGAAATGGAAAATGCCATACAGCAGAGGTGGCTGCAGAAGCCAGGTCAGTAACACCCACGAGGGAGGCCAGACTCACGTGGCCATTGAAAACTAGAGTTCACACCGTCTATAGAAGGGCTGGCTGCTACTCGGTCTGGTTGCACCCTGCCTTGGTGGAATGCCAGCCCAGTGTTGCTTGGTCTGCCTATTGTTTTCCCCAGAGAAGACAGAAGTATGAATTTTTATGCAAAATCACATCAGTTTGGTAACTAATTTGCTTTGTGTTTTTTTTGTTTGTTTGTTTTTCTTTCTTTTTTTTTTTTCTTTAAGAATATGGTCAAACAAAGCAAGTCACCTTGCTCTTGGTCCAAATGTTTGTGAACTAAATGGAATTAGTTCATGAACTCTTGATCTCATGATAGTAGAAGCCTGAAATTTTTACCTGAAGCCTGTGAATTTGGATAAGAAAAGTTATTACATCTTTATTTTCTTTAATTTCTAAGTGAAATGTAGCTTTTCCTTCAACTATGAAGGTTGGTAACAAACTACAGTATTAGTTGAAGTACCAAAAGAAATCATAGAAATGTTCATATTATATTGTATTTGTTGAAGTGTTTAGGCTCATCACTACTTAATAATTATCATAGTTATTACAGATGTGATCCTAAGATAAGGCTATTGTGTTAAAAAAAAGTACATAGATTACTATTTTGTGAAATTTTTTTTAAGATTTTAAAAAAAAATTTTAGAAAGAGAGCACACGAGAGCATGAGCGCAGGGTGAAGGAGACTCCCTGCTGAGCAGGGAGCCCGAGGTGGGACTCCATCCCAGGACCCTGGGATCATGACCTGAGCCGAAGGCAGACGCTTAACTGACTTAACCAGGCACCCCACTATTTTGTGAATTATTTTTTAATATTTTGGTAACTGAATTTCAATATAATGTTTTTCATTTGCAATACTATGTATTTTATTTTGTGCATTTAAAACAACTTTTCTGAATTGAGGCCTGTTCCACAGGCTTAACTGGACCGCTAGAAATTAATACTC